TTTTAGAATAATTATCGTAACCTTAATAAAGGTCCTAACAGTCTCCTAGAATAAGTTCGAGTGCTAAAAGTTGGGTTTGAACGCTCACGGAATTATTTTGAATATAAAGATTTAAATTAACAGACACAACAAGAATAAATAGACAATAAATAATTAAATAATTGAAAATATATTTTTATTTACAGAATATCATTATAGGACTGTAAATAGTCTAAATAAAATTATTCGTAATTTTAAACCTCTTTTATAATATTTTACAGTATTATTATTAAGAAAAAACTCTTAAATAATAATAAATAGTTGATCAAATAAATAAATTTTTTTTTAGTAACATATCACTTCTGAGATGTCAGAAGTCTAATAAAAATATTCTTGATGTTAAAAACATTTTTTGTAAGGTCGTAACTAATTTTTGTTTGTATCCTTAATAAAAATAAAATAAATAGCTAATAATATCAAAAGTTTATGAAATCAGTAAGTTATGACCTTTGACAGGTTAGAAAACTAGGAAAAATAGTTTGGGGATTTATGGAATAGTTTACAAGGTCGCAATGGATTTTGGTTTACAAATGATTACACGTTTACGAATAAAAATCAAATAAATATCAGATTAAATAAAAAAAATATGAAACTAACAAGGTATGATCTTTAGAGTGTGGGTAACCTAGAAAAAATAATCCGGGGTCAAAAACGATATTTAAAAAGGTCGCAAAATCAATTCGACACGAAACAAAAAAAAACCGGACGGCTGGGCTACTGGAGTTCGCGGCCGCGAGGTTGGCCGCTCTGGTTCTTGCGGCTGGAAATCCCGAACCTTGCGGCCGCAAGGTCGCGCGCTGTTTTTTTTATTTTCGTTCGTTTGGCCTCGGGTTCGATGCATGGGGGCACGGGGGACCTTGGGTTATGTCTAATAAACATATTTATACGTAGAGGAGGGTTCGGATTGAATTATAGTACCTCGAATTGGGTGGAATTGGTTTTCGATCGGAAACTTGACAATTTTGGAAAGAAAACTTCGGTTTCTTCGATCGGGAGACCTTGGGGCCGAATTGGTTGATGTTCGTGGATGCTTGGGATTGTAGAATGAGATTGGAACGATCAATTTGGGTCTCGGATGAACGGATCTACAAAACCCACTTTTTTCTCTCTCTTTTCTCTCTCTAGAACTCCATAGCTTTGGAGCTTTGATTTCCTTTCGATTTTCTCTCTTTTCTGGACGATTGGAGTGTGAGAATTTTCGTGCGTGCCCTAGGGTCGGAGTAGGAATGTATTTATAAGAGAATTAGATGAGTTTCGAATAAAATCGAGTCCTAATGGAATTGGGTTTTGGAACGGACGAATCGTGCTCGGTTTTAGGGTTACGGAGGAGGTAGAGATCGAGTAGGAGAGTGAGAGATAGAAGAGTTGTGCATGCATGCAAGTATTGTAGGAAAATTAAAAAGAAGTTATGCATGCATATTTGTATCTAAAAGGAATAATAATGATAATTGTATTAAGAAATTAATTCTAATAACATTATTATGAGAAGAAAAAAAAATATTGGGTCAAAATTCCGGGTCGTTACAAAGTCCACTTGACTTTTTAATCCAAACCTAAGCGGTGACTTCGGCTCTTCGTAAGTCTCTCTCTGCATACATAAACTAACCATATTCTTGTACAAGCATCATTGATTTTAATAGTAAAATCAGGGACGATTTCGTGTTTTTTTTAAGGCATGACTAGAGTTCTTTTTTTTCTTATTGATTCTGAAAGATTCGTAGATGTGACATTTTTGTTTAGCAAGTCTGAATTTCGATATAGGGGAATTAATTATTATTTTTTTTTGTCGGGTTGGGTTTGGGCTTGGCCTGACCCGTTTCAATCCGTTTACATTTCGACCCATGTTCGACCCGCCCATAGTTGATCCGCGACCCGTTTCAACCCGCCTATACCAGCCCATTTGCCACCTGTATTTTTCAGTATAAAATGTGCATATAATATGTACGTTTGTTAAAGGATATTGCGAATGCCAAAACTATTTTTGTTTACGCCAAAATTATAGTGCATAAAATCTTTTGTACTATGAGTAATGTACAAGGCTTTTATGCAAGAGAGATGGTCCCATAAGATTTCACTAATCCACATTAACAACTTCATGGTCGTTAACTTCGGGGCTCAGAACTAGTCGAAGTGCGCACAAATTGGCCTACACATCTGGTTATAAAAGGAAAAATCAAAACAGACTCCGGCAACTATAGGTATTTTTCACACTAGCGTAACTGAATCCATATAATTGGTAACCATAACAAGCATTACATCCTGGCAGGTTTTTTTACGACAAATCAACCAATTTATACACCAAGAAACTCTCAGTAACGAAGTTGAGGAACAACAATGCAAACAAATTGGGAGAGTTGCACAAGAAGATCACAAAAACAAATCTGGAGTCCGAGAAACGCCGACCAAAAGACAAGCAACAAAGCGGAAGAGAGAGAGAGTGCCTATATGATGTCAAACACCAAAGCCCAGACGGGATAGACCAACAAAATGACTATCCCGACGGTGTTGGAAATGCCGTTACTCCTGGTGAAGGCATTTCTGAACCCACCGGATGCTCGGATGTGCTCTTGAAGCAAGTAACACGCGATGGCAAGACATATGACAGCTCCAATCCAGCTGTCCCTCAAAGTATCAGCAATCAAGCTTGGCGCCACCACAATGAGAAGAAGCAATGCCCCCGGCATTTCTAGCCAATCTGCATTTTATCATTAGCATGAACACAGACACTCGCACAACACAAGCAACTATGTCGTTCAATTTCGTTCTCATGGCAGAGCAGAAAAAGGGAAACTTTCGTAACATCCCAAACTACATTACTTAGTAAGCTCCAAGAAATAGGGTGACAACTAAAGTATGAAGGCCCACTTTGTGCATTTAATGGAAAATTTAATGTTCATACCCAATTTACCTCTTTAAGACACCCATTAGCAAGTACAAACTGGGCGTTCCTTTAGTGACATCCATGAAATGTCAGTATTTTTATGTTTGCTACGTTCTAAGACACGATCACTTTTACAGGACTACATGACAGTGCAAATGACGGTTTTGAAAAGATTCAAACGCCTAATGAAAAAGGGTCTTGTTAGTTTGTGTTGTCTTAGATACTCGTTAGATCCAAACCTTAGCACTGGTTCCTGACAACTCTGCTATTTCTATTTTTTCTAGTTTCCTATTGGATTATTTACAACCACATGAATGTGAAGGCCTGATAAATCAATGCGATAATGGAAGTAATGTCGTACCAGGATAATATTTGGCGAAGAAGAGACGCACTACCACGCCAATGAAAGTAACCCATTCACCGACTTCTCCTCTGCATTACCAGACACATTAAAAGTGGAGAATCGAGTAAAGCCAAGGACAATGAGAGCAGCAGAGAAAGCTGTTATCACCTGAGGAAGTTGAACACTAGGGATGGAAGACTAAAGAAAATGTAAGGGATTAAAAGAGCGGTAAGGATGTTGGTCCTCCAGTTTGTCCGATCCAAGACCAGCAAATAACTGCAGTAATGACAGGAAAGATAAAAGATAAGATTGTTAGCTATGAAATTCTTTCTCCAAACAAAACAGATAGGATGCACCGCATATCAAAGATTGTTAAGGATGGACAAGAGAAACAGTCTCAGAGATCATAACATCGACACAAGGATAGTTTATTTGGTGCCTTTATGTAAAGCAGGTAAATAGCATGTTGTCAAAGATGACTAGTTGAGGATACATTTAACAGATTTATCAGCAAGACTTCAAATGCGTGCACACATTGCAAATTTAGCATATAATAACAGGCTCGTATGAAGAAACACTGGGTTGCGCACAAAAGTTCATTGCAGACTCAATGGAAAACCCAAGGACTAAGAGATGTAGCAGCCACACGAAAATCCACCTGTATGATTTGTCTACCATTATACATCGACATAGATAGATGATTGCCGAACATATGTAAGGCAAGCTAGTAAACACAGATCAATGCCTTCTTACAAAATTTTTTGAGGCACAAAATATCCATGGTGAAGTATTACCAAAAACGAAAGTGAAGAGGAATATGACAACCACTCATAAGATTTCAGAGAAGTTCGAGGGGATTGCGAAACTTAAAACAGTCGCGATGTAGTTCAGTCCATCCATGTAGGGGATGTGTATTTTAAAACATGGGTTTTGAAGTTTTTCCCAAATCTTCCCCATAACCTTTGTCCCACATTGCTTAGATAAAAGAACTTCAGACCCATTATATTAAGGAACACTTTAGTAGGAATGTGAATGTGGCCAGACCCAAGGAGAGGACTTGCGTGCTCAGGAAAATGGGCTTAAGGCCTAAGGCAATTTGGAAACTCATAAGTTATTTTGTACAGTCCATCAAATTTTTTCTTGAATGGAAAGACATGCTAAGTGTTTGCTTTTCCACGCGTTGTTTTATCCTAGGGAAGACGTGGCTATACATTGCTTGCACAAGAGAGGGCAGAGCCGCGAAACATCTTAAAGATAGCAACCTAGTTTGCGATTCATTCTTGAATAGCAACATATGCAGTTTCGAGTTAATCCGTTCCATACTCTCTGATTGTTCCAACAATCCATGCCACTCAACCGTAACTCGTAAGTGACAACAACGTCTTCGACAAAATGTATATATGTATAATAAGATTAGCTCCACATACATCCTCGAAGGTTGTAGAACTATAATGCGGAAAAAATAACTAGAATAATACTCCTATGACCCAAATTATTTTTGTCCCTTGTCCCATTCTAAGAGGATAGAAAATGGGTACCACTTTTTATGGTAGATTTGAATAACTAAACAAAGTTTTAAAATAACATAAAATCGTATAAATTAGAAGATATAAACAATTTGAAAGTGATACAAACTCTAAAAAAAAGTCGCAAATTGGGACGGAAGGAGTAGTAACAAACTGCATATGATACGTCCCATTTGGTTTGGTTTTCTTTGGGAATCTGGGATGAGAAATGACCGACTTAACTCAGTGGTTCGAGTATTGTTTTCATACGGCGGAAGTCATTTGTTCAAATCCAATGGTAGGTAAACTTATTAGACACCACAGAGTCAATGGTATTCAATAAGTTTTTCTGTCCACCTTTTTTCTATTGATTATTTTTTCCGTTGCATTACAATCGGATTCCAATTGTATTTCGTACAAGAGAATCAAATCAAAATCGGGTGTAAAAGTATAAACATTAAACAACATAATTCAGAGTTGACTACTCTAAAATAAGTGCTCCGGAAAACTAAACACGATCCATCTGAAGATTACGATCAAATAAACAGGACAAGAACAAAATCAAATTCACCATAACACACAACAGAGTCATAGACATCACGCACAGCCAGAGAATCGACTTATCAAAAGTTTTAACCGGGATAAATCAAATCTGAAACGTACTTCCCTGCCTTCCCAATTGCTTGTCTAGTATTCTATTTTGGGATCCCCGAAAATACTTTTCCTCTTTGACAAATCTAAAAAGTGTGTAAATCCACACAATTCAACCCTCATGAAGGATTTGTCAAAAAGAAAACCCTCATGAAGGATTAAAAATACTAGTTTTTGAACAATAAGGGGTAATACTGTATTGAAAATCAAATCAAACTTTCTAAGAAAATACGCATTAATGGCACGTCCCTTTAAAAAGTTGAAGTTGAAGTTGCCGTAAAAGACAAACCAACACCAGAGAGAGAGAGAGAGAGAGAGATTTACATTGCAGCGACTGATGCGATCCATTGAAGCAGAGTAGAGCCTAAACCGGAGCCTATGACATGGGTTCCGAGCCTCTTAAGGGAGTGGCCGAGATCTTGGAAATCAGCAGTGATCAGATTAGTGGAAGCTCTTTGACCCGTCTTCATTTTCAAGTAATTGTCACTCCCCATTTCTTACTGTATTTTTACTCCTATCTCCAAACAGTATCCCAAAATCAATCACACACACACACAGAGGTTTATATAGGCCTTTAGAGTGTGATTTTTTATTTTTTATTTTTTCGGTCAAACGGCAATTCGAGTGTGATTATGCATGTCTCAAACTCTCAGGCCTCGTTTGATAACAGTGATAGATGGATGGGATTCGTAAGGAGATGGGATTAGGATTGGGATTCGTAAGGAGATGGGATTGGTAATGAGAAGGGATTGATAATGAGTATGTTTGTTTGGGATGGGATTAGATGATGGGATTATTAATATCATGTTTGTTTGAGATGGGATTAGATGATGGGATTGGATTGTTAGAAGAAATTGGTAATGAAAAGGGATTTGTAATGTGAAGGAGTTGGGATTGGACTATTAATATCATATTCGGGGTATTAACAATACCCCCTAATACCCCCTCTATTAATCCCATCGGACTATTAGTCCGAACCAATTTTGGTTACCAAACAATGTATTATTAATACCATCACCTTTACAATCCAATCCCAACCTCCAATCCCTTTATCAAACGGGGCCTCAATGCAGAGAGAGAGAGAGAGAGAGAGAGAGAGAGAGGGGGGAAGGCTGGCCGACACCAGGTGAGAGAGAGAGTGAGAGAGAGAGAGAGGGGATGGCCGACACCAGGGGAGACTATTCTGATAGTTTTGTTTTTATTTAATTTTTTTTGTTTGTTAATTTTACGCAAAAATTTTGTGGGTTACTAATTTGTTTCGACGAGGCGAATCGAAAAAATTTAAAATTTTTACCCTTTATTCAAATAATTTAAAAAATAACCACTTTTAAGTATAAAAAAAAATTTACCTTTTTGCCAGCCGTGGCCCTTAGAGCATCTCCAACCCATGCTCTATTCCTCCGTTTGAGAGTATGAAACTTCTCCAACCCATCCTCTCGAGCTTCCTCTATTTGAGAGGATGGAATTTTGATCCTCTATATTTAGAGAAAGAGAGAAAATATGGAGAATTTCCTCTATAACACTAGCCACCTTTTAAAATGGCATTTGTATCCTTAGAGCATCTCCAACCCATGCTCTATTTATTCATTTGAGAGTATGGAACTCCTCCAACCCATCCTCTCAAGCCTCCTCTATTTGAGATGAAAAAATAGAGAGTTTGTGGTTGGAGTAAATAGGAATAGTGATTTTCTCTAAAATCACTTTATGAATAAAATAATATATTTTGATACTCTCAAATAGAGTATTGGATTGAAGATGCTCTTAGGCATGCTTTTTAATTCCCATTTGTAGTTTTCTGTATGGAGAAAAAACTCTTTAGAAAAAGGATATGGATATGTTCATATTTTGAAGAGGATATTTTACTTTATTCGACAGAATAATATTTTCGAAAGATTATATATATTCGCCACGTCTTTTTGATTCTCTTTTGTGCTCCAACTCGTGGACCATACATGGCCTTCCACGTCGCTACTTCTACTATCATAATCCCATTTGTGGAGATTTTTTTTTTTGGTGCCGAGCGGATATTACTTGACGTACTCCTCATCGATCCCAGCGATCTAAATATATTTTGGACGGTTCAGATTTATTTTCTCTCTTTCTCCTTAACCGGCCACTCTCTCTCTTCTTTTTCTCTCTCTTTATTTTCTCTCTATTTCCTTACCTGACCAGTGACCACTCTCTCTTTTCATTTTCTCTTTAAAATTCAATTCATCCAAACATGTTTGAATGGCTGAAATTGTTGACGGTCCCACCGGCTCGCCAACCAAAAACTTCTCCCATATGTCTAAGCCCAAAAGTCCTGGCTTTTCATTCGGTGATTATTTTGTCTTTTTGTCAATTCATCTACAGTACTAGCAGACACTTGCCACATGATATGCATGTGCACAAAATGACAACCAAATCTTTTTAATTAGAAAAAAAATGATTTCATACTCGAATATAGTATTCCACACTTCGCTTGCATAAATTTGTTGGGTAACTTTTTTCGAATTCTTTTAGTACTTTTTTGTAATTTTTTGCTTAGTTTTCCTTCGTAATTTTTGAAATCAATCATTTACCGACCAGAGAAATCAGAAAAACAAAAAATGCCAAAAACATGGGTGAAAGAGTAAAGTACGAATGATCTCCATGTGGTTTAGGCCTTTCGCACATCACCTTTTTGACTCTTCAAAATGACCAATTGACTTCCTTGTGGTTTTGGATTAAAGTGTCATGCTAAGAGCATCTGCATTGTAATAAACAAATAGGTGTGAATAAGCAAATTTAACAACAATGCTCAAAAAATACCTCACATTGTAATAACCAAAGTTACAAATCTTTTAGCAAATAACCAAATTCTACCATTTTCATAGCCAAACTTAACAACTTTTACCAATAACCAAAACTCAATAACCAAACCCAATAACTCAAAAACACATCACATTAGAATCGTCTCATCGAGACGAATAATTTGGTGTGTTCGGGTGCGTGATTGGAACTCGTTTGCGATTAGACATAAGTGCATTGTGTATTGTGGGGTTTTTTTGGTTAGGGATGTAAAAATAACCAATGTGAAGGTAGATGTTAAGTTTAATTATAGACTAAATGGATAATCAAATGCTGACGTGACACATTTTGATTATTGATTTTGATTATTCCCATTGCGGATGCTCTAACACCATTAATGGCAAATGTGGTAATGACTTTGAGGCTCCGTTCCGGAAAGGTAAATAAATACTTATTTTTTAATAAGACAATTTGAAACTCAAAAATTATGTACTTACCCAAATAATTTTCCTATCATTATGATCTTATTTGATAGATCTCATTGAGATCTTTTATATGGGCAAAAAAAAATTAAAAATTTATTTTTCATTTACTTTTTAGTTTGAAAATGGGAAATAAATACTTATTTTTTAAGAAAGTATTATGGAACAGTTCCTGATACCCCTCTGCCTTCTCTATCATCATAGCTAACTTGAGAATAATTACTTCTTCAATATTAAAAAAACAGACTTCACACATTGATTTTTTTTTTCTTTTTTCCATTTTCATGTGATGCAATGGCCAAAGAGGAGGAGTTTCACTTCAAAAATGATTTTTACTAGCCGGTTTTTTTGTAATTAACTGACCGAAGAATTTGACGTTGGGCCCACCTGGGTTTGATCCGAATTGAGCCGACGGTCAGAACACATGCTTTCGGCCATGTGCCGTGTAGATTTTAGCCTTTTGAGACCGTTTAGACCTCCAAACGGGCCTCCGATCATTTTGGGCTATTTTTCGCTCGCTTATATCTTTTAGTAGGAACGTCCGTTTCAGTCCATTCTTTTTTCAGAATTCTTATTTTTTCCTCTATTTTGTGGGTCCGCAATAATCTTAGTAGGGTTTCTTGATGTTTTCTAGGTTAGCCTATAAATTCGTTTTGTTCGTCTTTCGGATGCAGTTGATTATTGATAATAAAAAGAGTCTAGAGAGAGTTTCTCTTAATATTGTGTTTGTGATTGTCCTTGTCGTATCGTCATTCAATTTCTCATACGCTTCCCTGCATCATCATGTTTTACTGCATGAAACTTTTAGTTAGACAATCAATTTATTTTATTCTGTAGATAAATTTAGTTAAAAAATTGTTCATCAAACTAAAATGTAAAATAACCTGAATTTCTCTGATTTTTACGATTGGTTTTTAGAATAAACAATACTTCAACATTCACGACTTTAAAAGAAATTGGCTGATACGTCCAAACCAAAAACTACTCCATTTGCAAAAAAACCTTTGCTGTGTGTGAGTGCCACTGCCACCTGTTTAAAATGAGACGATTCACCATGGCTGAACCTCTTTCGCTTTTCGTTTTCCCCATTTGTGTGGACTCTCTTATCCTTTGTGGGTGTTCACTGTCGTTTTTCTCTCAGGGATTTCTTCTACCATTTCTCAAACCAGTCTTTATTCCTCCGTTCTATTGGAGGGTTTGATGTGGTCGTGGTAGATTCTGTGAAGAAGATTGGCTTTTGTGCAACCCATAGTTTTGCTCTCAAGCTATGAGATGTGTTGGTTGTAAGACTTGAGAGTTTAGTCCTCTTCGTGGCTTCTATCTCCCCTCCATGCAAGGATGGAGCCAGAGGGGCTAATAGGGGCGCCGCCGCCCATTCTAATGTTTCTCGCTGCCATCATTTA